CAAGTATGTCTACTATAGGTTTAGTATTTTTATAGATATAATATGTCAACACAAGACCAGTAAAATTAGAATCACAATTTTATCACTTTCCTAGCCTAAGTTATGCATTTTACAAGATATAAACTACTTTAAAAGCACTTATCTTGCTTAATTTAATTCTCCTAGAAAAATACCCTAAGAAGTAGATTTAATATTTTTATCAAATATTAATCTTCATGATTAATCCAACAAAATTTGGTTCACCTCATTTGGATACTCCTATCTCTAGATATAAATTTTTGAAGTTAGTAACAAAATCTGTGAAAATAAATAAAAAAATCAACTTTCCAACTGGGAACTACAGCTAGGTGCACCCGGTCTATACACCCATGGTGGCTGACAGTGGGGGCCCGCATGTCAACCCGGACCCACGCTCCAGTGAGACAGAGGCAGGGTGTCGGCTTTGACCGGTGAGAACTCGCCATCGGCGAGGTCACCGCCGCCGAGGTCACCACCGACGTGTTCCCCTCCTTGTTTCGCACCTAGTGAGCTAAGTGGGTGAACCCCTGATGGTGGTTAGCTACGGCGGCGGTGCTGCGGTGGTGCACCGAACGTTTCCGGCCACGGCAAGCTCTAATGAGAATGACTACGGCTTCCTGGTGGCGTAGCTGAGATCTAGGGTTAAGTTGGGGCTTCGGTGGAGCAGAGGCGAAGCTTGGACGCGTGCATGGTGGCACAGCGGTGCGCAGTCGTGTTCCGGCGTCGGTGTGCTGGCATTGGCTCAACGGCCAGCGGCATGACCTAGACCTGACCCTAGGCTAACCCTAGCACCGAAAGAGAGAGAATGTGGGGGCTCTAGCGAGCACGACCACGATGAGCGCAAGCTCGGCGGTGCTCCAGCGAGGGCGTGGCTACGGAGAACTCGCCCTTAGGCGTTTACCTTGGCTCGATTAGCACGGCTAACTGGTCGGGAAGGTGGAGGAGGTGATGGTCGAGCGGTGTGCGCGAGCAATCGAACAATGGCACGGTGGCGGCAGCGAGCGAGCTCGGCGGAGGTGCGGCGGTAATGGCGATGCGCTGTGGTTCCGCTCTGGAGCGGTGCGCGTGTGAGAGAGGAGGCGAGAGCGAGAGTGAGCGCGTGTGAGCGGGTACGTGCGACACGGCGCTCTTTACCGCCCGCTCTAGCCTGACGGGTGGGGCTAGCGTCGGCATATGGCCAACAGGTGGCGGCCACAGCCTGAGCGCGGTCGGCCATGACACTGCTGCTCCGGCCGGTTCAGACGAGTGAAGGAGCCGACTGACAGCGCATTTTCAAACCCCCAAATCTCCCAAACCGTGGTGAATCAGTGAAAAAATTATTAATACAAAGTGTAGAGTTACATGAGTACTACAAGATTGCTTAAAGAAGTTTTGTCTAAATCGCCATGATTTTCAAACTACAATGCTCCAAAGTAGGCTACATTGAAACTAAAATTCAGTTAAAGACTGCAAAATTTGAAGTTTTGAAAACAGCATCTTGTTGATACTTGTAAGCTCTATTTGACCATGTTAGATACTGAATTAGCTCATGACCCTAAAATAAAGTTTGTTACCCATGACAAGAACTACAACTTTTATTTAGGTCACACAGCCATGCAAGCTCTCTAAGCTACTGTTCAACTTTGGTCAAACTAGCATCGTGAAAATGACATTTTAAAGTAAACCAACACTTAGAAGCAAAATTGGTTCATGTTATGAATACAAAAATTGTTCAATTTACCATCCTAGATGTGTCTAAGGTGTTTTCATGACCTCACAACCATTTCATACATTGGTCATACATGATTACAAGCATATGCATATATATAATCAACATCACATGTGATAATGTATAAAGAATGAAATAAAATTTCATGTGCTCATGCTCATGAATGAAGGGATGATGCTTGTGCTCATGAAATGCAAGTGTTAAATGCAATGCTTAACACTGGGGTGTTACAGTACTGGCACCAGAGATCTTGTTCCTTTGCCACCTCATGTCACTCATATCACTTGCAAGTGGGTGTACAAGGTAAAGACCCGCTCGGATGGCTCTCTTGAGCGCTACAAGGCTCGTCTTGTGGTGCACGGTTTCCAACAGGAGCAAGGTCGTGACTATGAGGAGACCTTCGCTCCTGTCGCTCACATGACTACTGTTCGAACTCTTCTTGTAGTTGCTTCTGTTCGTTAGTGGTCGATATCTCAGTTGGATGTCAATGGCGAGCTCCGTGAGGAAGTCTATTTGTAGCCACCTTTAGGGTACTCCATTTCGGAGGAATGGTTTGTCGGTTGCGTCGTTCCCTCTATGGCCTTAAGCAAGCTCCTCGTGCTTGGTTCGAGCATTTCTCCTCTATTGTCATCGATGCTGGCTTCAAACCTAGTGACCACGATCCTGCTCTCTTTGTTCACACTTCTCATGGTTGCACACTTCTTCTCTATGTCGATGACATGATCATCACAGGTGATGACTCTCAGTACATTGCCTTTGTGAAGCAGCGTCTCAGTGAGACATTCCTCATGTCTGATTTGGGTCCTCTTCGTTACTTCCTTGGTCTTGAGGTCACCTCCACATTTGATGGTATTTTTCTCTCTCAAGAGAAGTACACTCAGGACCTCCTTTCTTGTGCTACTCTCACTGATCACCGCACTATTGACACTCCTATGGAGCTTAATGTTCACCTCCGACCCACTGACGGTGCACCACTTGCTGATCCCACTCGCTATCATCAGCTTGTTGGGAGCCTTGTCTATCTTGGGATCACATGTCCTGATATTACTCACTCTGTTCATATCTTGAGTCAGTTTGTCTTGGCTCCTACCTAGCTCCGCTATGCTCACCTCATTCGTGTTCTGCGATACCTTCGTGGAACCATCTCCTGCCGCCTTTTCTTCCCTCACTCTAGTTCTCTCTAACTTTAGGCGTACTCTGATGCGACCTAGGCGAGTGATCCTATTGATCGCTACTCTCTCTCTCTCAGCTTATTGTGTTTTCCTTGGCTCCTCCTTGATTGCTCGGAAAACCAAGAAGCAGACTACAGTTCTCGCTCGAGTGTTGAGGCTGAGCTGTGTGCTATGGCGACTGTGACTGCAGAGGTGACATGGCTACGATGGCTTCTTGAGGATTTCGGTGTGCCTACCACTACACCCACTCCTCTCTCTTCTGACAGCACCGGTGCGATCAGTATTGCTCGAGATCCGGTCAAGCATGAGCTCACCAAACACATTGGCATTGATGCTTCCTACATGAGATCGTAGGTGCATCATCAGGTTGTGTCCCTCCACCACGTGCCTTTAGAGGTTCAGCTAGCGGATTTATTCACCAAGGCACAGACACGGGCACATCATAAATTCTTGCTCTCCAAACTCAGTGTTGTAGATTTACCATGAGTTTGAGGGGGGTGTTAGATGTATATATGTCCTTTCTATTTCCCTCTACTTGGAGGGATTCTTTGCATATGTACAAACCTGTATACTTGCCCCTTTGGGCCTGGAATAGAGTTGGTTGGCCATTCATTCTAACAAATTCCTCTATTTTCTACTCTCGTTTGCTGTCAACTTAGAGTTAGACTAGTTAAATAACTTTAAGCTAATTTTATTTGTAACTAGTTCAATATTGATGTCCAAAACATTTTAACCAATGTAAAAAAATGAGACTAAGAGCATCTTCAAGAGTACCCAATATTTTCTTCCTAAAAACATAGAGTTTTATAATTCCTAAAAAAGTATGGAAAGGAATAAAGAAGGCCATCTCCAAGAGTTTCTAAGAATCTACTCCTAAAATATAGAAGACAATTTTACATCAACAATCCTATACTATTTCTAAATTATCTTAACCACTTTTATATATTCTTTCTCTTATACATTTGCATCAGGAACCCTTTCCTACTCTTTATTCTTTCCATGCCCTTTCACCTTTAGATTGACCGACAAACACGCGCTGGGAGAGAAGATACGCGCAACTCGAAAGCGCGTAACTTTAAGCAGAACAGGGTGACTTTTCTCAAGTTCTAAAATATTAGGAGGATGAATTAGGAGTTGTTAAAGAGAGTTTTTTCTCATCTTGCTAAAAAGAAGAATTAAGGGATTTAGGGAACTCTGGAAGATGCTCTAACCTAAGAGAAATTAGGTGTTTTTCGTTACTAAAAAAATAGGCATCTAAATTCGAGTTTAAGAGTACTCAATGGATGGATGATCATACCTCTAACCAACCAATTGAGTTAGACTCACTTTTTGTTTAATCATAGTGCTTGAATCAGACAGCAAGATCATAACGTTCGGTATTGAAAAATCATAGATTCTACATGACAGAATCATAATTTATAACTGCAACACATTTTAGGCACATGGAAGTTTTAGTAGTAATCCATACACAGAGTCATCAGGCATAAGTTATATCAATCAAGAATTTGTCCATCACATCTGCGTTTCATGCAAGAACAGGAAGGTTTTTCATGCCTCTCCTTCGGCAAAGTTTGCAAGATGCAGAAGGATTTCTCAAGGTTACTTCTTGCCTGCTCGCACTCAGGATCAGGTTATGATACACATTACTGTTTGACCTTTCTCATCCTTCGGCATTTTTTATTCAAATGCAGTAACCACTACCATTCTTCTACTACTGACACCTGCTTGTGGCCTGATGGCAGAAAAAGGGAGGCCAAAGAATGCAGCGAAGACCATCAGTTAACATCTCTTGATAATTGGGGATACAATTACACTGAGACCATTTCCATTCTACATCATGCTTAGTTGCTTTACTGCCTTTCCTGCTGTCCATAAAGACAATTGGTTAGACAATGATAAAGAAACATAAGAATTATGTCAACAGAACATCGACATGGTTTTTCTCATGATCCAGAAGGCACATCCCTACTGTGTATTTGAAGGATACATCCAGAAGGCACATCCCTACTGTGTATTAAAAGCGACGATCTAATACTCCTAGTATCGAGTTCAAATGTCAAGCTCAGGAAAGCGCAGGCAGAAGAACTCACCAACCAATTGGTTCAACGCTTTCTCTTGTGAGTCTTCCATTGCTTCATGACGTGCTGAACGGCTTCCTTCAGCGTTGCTTTCCGGCCTTCCTTGTAGTTCCACAGCTCTGGTACAGGATAGCGGCCACTAGGATTGTACTCATTGATCTCAAGCAGTGCCTTGGTTACCAACCCATAAATTTCTTCACCGTGCTCTTCTTTCAGCTCCTGGAGCATCGCATCGTCCTCTTTAAGAATTTCCTGATCCAGAGAATACCCACCAGATGTTACCATATATCATGTAACCACTAGCAAAACCACAAAGCCCACTATTATGAAACTGATGACTTAACATTATAAACAGCAGATAGCAATTGTAAGTGATCAAGGGCCATACAATTTCTTTCCCATCCACCACTGTAACCTTAAAAGGGTACCAGTTTGGGTTTCTAATTTTTTCTTCCCACTTTGAACAAAGGAGAGCAGAAGTGACTGCTGCATCCTCTTTTGATAGCCTTTTCTTGCAAGCGATTCCAAATACTTTGAGATCAAGCTCACCCATTCTCTTTATACCTATATTTGCTCGGCCAGCAACAGCAAGCTCATTAAAGCCCTGCAAAGCATGCAACAAACCAGAAAGAGAATGTGCATGAGATATGATGCCAAAGCAAAAGATACGGTGGCTTCATTGATTTGAGACAGCAGAACAGAGCACAATATTGGATAGCTGGTCAATCAATGTGGTAGCTTACATGTATCAGCTCCTTCCGAGCGTATTGCAACTCATCGTTGCTCTTCCTTTCCTTGATAAACAGAGTTTGGTTCAGAAACTCCATTGCTTCCAATTCATCCATCTTTTCCTTCAGCTCCTCAGCGAGTTCATCCATCTTCTTCTTTGATTCAGAATCCTGTTCACCTGGCATATGCTTCATAACTTTCATTTTGCTTTCCAGCGATTGTATTTCCAGTTCAAGCTTCTGTTTGGCATCTAATTGCTGTTGTAACCTGAGAATCTTTCCTAGAGCAGCTTGTTTCTCCCTCTGCATTTCCACACAGTAACACGCTCATAGATATTAGTTTCTCAAGATAACATGAAACAATACATATTTGACCTTGAACCAAACCTTGTGTTCTTCCACAAGCTTAAGCACGTTCTCGTCAGCCTTCTGTTGCTCCATTGTTGCCATCATAAGATGCTTAGTTTTAATTTTGTTCTGCGCTCAACCACAAAAATAGTCTGGCATTAGTTGTATGAATAGCACAACTACAGGAAAATTACAATAGCACCCAGCATCTCATCACTAGCATCATAGAATACAGTCCAACAAAACAAAATGGTGTTATCAATCTACTGCTCAAAATTAATGATGGCAAGGTCATACAGTGCCCAAGGTTAAGGATGGTAAGGCCATACAGAAATTTAGACCCATGTGGTCATTGAACAGTTATAGATAGTTTCTCAGGAGGAAGCTGTCAGCAATGTGGAGGTTGACTCTGATGAGGAGAATAATGAAGAACACAATAGAGTGATTCATGATTTAGAGGTGATGGAAAATGAAAAGGATGATGTCGAAGAATTAGAGGTGACTGAGCTAAGACAGGGTGAGAATCAAGACAAGTTTCCCCAATGAATATACTATTTTGGAATATTAGAGGGTTGGGGAGCAAAGGAAGAAAAGCTCTAAAGAAGATTATCACTGACCACAAGATTTGTTGTGTTTGACTTAACGAAACCATCAAGCAGAAGTTTACAGATAGAGAACTTAGAGCTTTGGGTGGTGGAGATACCTTTGTTTGGAACTGGATACCATCTCAAGGCCTTCTGGAGGTCTTTTGATGGGGGTTGATGAAGAGGTGTTAGATGTGTATGGTGGAGATGCAGGATCACATTTTCAGAGTATGCTGTTGATCAATAAAGAGGACAATTTTAAATGGCAGCTCATAAATGTGTATGGGCCAGTCAAGGAAAGTATGAAACAGAACTTTTTAGAGGAAATAGAGGTGGTGGTCAAGAATTCAGATGTCCCAATTCTAATAGGAGGTGATTTTAACCTTGTTAGAAGAGTTGAAGAAAAGTCTACAGGCAATGTAAATACTCATTGGATGAATGCCTTTAATACCTTTGTTGCTAATTCAGAGGTGAGAGAACTTCACAGATCAGGAGGCCAGTATACTTAGACCAATAAGCAATCTCAACCGGTAATGGTGATGCTTGATAGGGTGTTCATGTCTGCTAGTTCGGAAGATCACTTTCCTCTAGTCAATGCTCATTCTATAACCAGAGTAGGGTCAGATCACAATCCTTTGGTTGTCGAAGCTAGTCCTAACAGAAGCCAGAGATCCAAGATTTTTAGGTTTGAAGCTGCATGGATCAAGCAGGAAGGTTTTATGGACTGGGTAATGTCAAAATGGCCTGAGTCAAGGGGCAAAAGAGGTGTGGATCTATGGCAGATAGTCTCAACAAAGTTAAGAAGCTGTCTAAGAGGTTGGAATGGTAATTGGGGTGGAGATTTGAAAAAGAGGAAACAAGATTTGATGCTGCTTATTAAGAGCTTAGATCAGAAAGCTGATAGAGGAGGTTTGGAAGAGAGAGAATGGGAACAGAGATATGTCTGGGAAGAGGAATTAATTGATATCTACAGCAAGGAAGAGGTGATGTGGCAAACCAGAGGTGGGGATAGATGGCTTTTGGAAGGAGATGCCAACACTGCTTATTTTCATGGAATTGCTAATGGAAGAAAGAGAAAGTGCCTTATAAGATCATTAGAGGATGAAGGTTCTATTATTACAGAGGCCAATGAACTAAAAGCTCATATTACAGATTACTATAAGAGGTTGTTTGGTAGTGAAGGTCAATCAAAGCTCAAGCTTCATCCAGATACATGGAAGGATAATCTGAATATCAATGATGAAGACAATGCTGAACTGACTAAACCTTTCACTATGGGAGAATTAGAGGTGGTGGTGCAGGAGATGAAGAGTGGCTCTGCCCGTGGACCTGATGGTTTTTCAGCCATTTTCTTCAAGGTCTTCTGGAACCAAGTAATCCTGTTGGAGATTTTGCAAGATTTAAGAGAGGGGAGCCTAGATTTGTCAGATTAAACTATGGAATTCTAACCCTCATTCCTAAGGTTAAGGGTGCAACTAACATTAGACAATATAGGCCCATCTGTTTGTTGAATGTAGTCTATAAAATCATAACTAAAACACTCACTCTAAGGCTGAACAGAGTTATCAACAAGGTTATAAGTTGTAGAAAAGAGAGAATCACCACACACCCAATGTGGGTGGGGAGCCTTTCATATATATTGCCAATTAGGCACACATGGAAGGTACAAATACAGGAAGCTAGGCTATACATAGTAACTAGCCTATCTAGGGGATCTCTCTAATGATCCTGATATATACATATCCTAATACCCGCCCGCAGTCGCAGCGGGAGAATCACGGACGCACAGACTGGTCCGGAAATCAGTGAAGAGCTGGACGGGTAGACCCTTGGTCATGATGTTTGCGAATTGGTACGCGGAGGGGGCATGAAGAACTCGGAACTGGCCCAGAGCGACCTTCTCGCGGACGAAGTGGATGTCGATTTCGATGTGTTTCGTGCGGCGGTGGTGGACGGGGTTGGCAATCATGTAGACGGTGCTCACATTGTCGCAGTAGACCACCGTCGCAAGCGGGATCGAGATGTGGAGTTCCTGAAGCAGCTGGCTAATGCTAATGCTTTCAATTGTAAGGTGGGTAAAATTTTTTTTTTTGAATGTCAAAAAAAATTTTTGAATGTCAAGGTGGGTAAATTTCCTATGAAATATCTTGGGCTTCCCATAAGTTACAAAAGGTTAACTAAAGAGCAACTAAGTGATTCAGCAGGCAAAGTTGAGAAGAGGTTAGAAACCTGGAAGTGTGGCCAGTTATCCTATGGAGGAAAATCAATTTTGATTAATTCCAGTCTTACAAGTATTCCTATGTACACAATGGGCTTTTACTGGCTCCATGAAGGTACACAGAAGAGAATTGACTCAGCTAGAGGAAGATTCTTTTAGGAAGGAGTGGGAAATAAAAAGAAGTATCACATGGTGAAATGGGAGGCCATGGCCACACCTAAGGACTTTGGGGGCTTGGGGTTTATTGATACTAGAGCCATGAACACAGTTCTCCTAGCAAAATGGATCTACAAGCTAGATAGAGGTGAGGGGAGTATGGCATTACAAGTGCTCAGAAGGAAATACCTGAGGGGGCAGAGTTTCTGTCAGATCAGAGATAAAAGAGGTTCTCAATTTTGGAAGGGTCTACTTGGAGTTAGAGGCTGGTATGAGAGAGGAACAAGTTGGAAAATTGGTAATGGAGTGAGAGTTAGATTTTGGCACGACATTTGGCTACATAATTGTCCTCTCAAGATCAGCCTCCCTAGGCTTTTCAGAATATGCAGAAAACAAGAGGTGTCAGTGGCAGAAATGCATAGCGAAGACTGGCAGTTAGATCTCAGAAGAAGACTGGGATCTGAAGAGGTGCTAGAATGGACAAACCTCATGAATGACCTGGAATCAGCTGATATTTCTGATGAAGATGACACCTTGGTGTGAGCTTTAGAAAGTTCAGGAAAATTCACTAATAAATCTCTCTATAGGCTCATGACTAGTGGAGGTGAGATGAATGTTGGCAGCACTTGGGAATCCAATGGAACCTTCAGAGTGAATTCTTTCAAATGATAATACAATCAAAACAGCAGCACCAAAATCCTTTCTTCATGGAGACCTTCATCATTGCTGCCTGGCATATTTGGAAGCAGAGAAACAACTTCATATTCAATAGAGGCCGGCCTTCTTTCTCTTCTTGGAAAAACCTCTTCTGTGAAGAGGCCAAACTTCAGGCTTTTAGAATGAGAGATGATAAACGTGTAGCTTTTCTCCTCTGTTTAGATCTCCTCTCTTAGACCTCCCTGGTTTTTGGCATGCGGTTCCCTTCCCGCCGTGGCTACCTCAGCCCCCCGGCTGGTTGGTTTGTTGTTATTTCTCTATCTTTTGTACAGGTTTCAGTTTTTATTTAATATATTCCTACAGTGAGGACTTCCCCTATTGTATTTCCAGTTCAAAAAAAGTGGAGGTGAGATAGATCTCAGAATGAAGCAGTTGTGGGAAGAATGCCTCTGAAGATAAAGATTTTTCTGTGGATGCTTTGGCATGATAGGGTTTTGACAGGGGAACAAAGGAAGATTAGGAAAGGCAAAGGATCTGAAAATTGCAAATACTGTAATGCTTTAGAAACCTGTAATCACCTTTTCTTTAACTGTAATATTAAAGGGCGTACCCAATGCAAAGAGCTCCCGCTTTGTGTGGGGTCTGGGGAAGGGTGTTAGTGGCAAGCCTTACCCTCGCCTGTGCAATGCGAGGAGACCGCGACTCGAACCCGGGACCTTCCGGTCACAGGCGGTAAGACTCTACCGCTTGCACAGGTAATTTGGGTGTGGGTGAAAGTGAGCTTGAGATGGTTTGAAAGACCAATCTCGGTCAATAATTATCAAGAGGTGATGGGCATTGGTGAGGTGGTGAGAGATAACAAATTTGCTTTTATCATTCTAGCTGCTGTTGCCTGGAGTCTCTGGAAAGCTAGAAATGACTGGGTCTTCAATAATGTGCTGATTAAATCTCCCAAAGCTATTGCTTATAGAGTTGTTGGGTTCCTGATACAGTGCATGAAGATGTAGAAGGAGAAGGACAAGCCGCTGATGGAGGATTTGATTTTGAAGCTACAGGAAGGACTAAAAGCCTGGTGATTTGAAGATGGCGATAGAGGACCATGAAGATCAAGGCGTAGTTTGCTTTTGTGTCTAGTTCTGTCTGTTTCGTTGCTTTAATCTAGCTTTACTATTTTGTTATCTGCTACCTTAGTTCTGGGGATGTGTGAGAGGTGCTTCTATCTGTTTCTTTGAGAACGCTTGAATGTAAGCTGATGTTCCCAGCAGACACTATCTGCTTTCCATATAAGCAGGGCCTAAAAGCCTTTGGTCTAAAAAAAACAGTTATAGATGGAATTATCGCCAAAGCAACAGCAACTAAATTGCTAAATGTGTTTAATAAAGTAGCAAATGACAAATCAGCCAGCTTTTTTATACAAGATACACTACGGAAAGGTACAGACTAGCAATAGACCATCACACCTTTTCCTTCTCTTGCTGAAGATTCCTTCTGTCATAATCCCTTTGCAAAGCTATGTCATCAAGCTCCTTGGATCTTGAGTCAAGTTCCTGCATCTTGGACTCCAAATCCTTGCGGAGTTTTTTATTATCATCGATGATCTTCTGCGAGTGCCTACGAGCAATTAGCTGCATCTTGCGAATTTCTGTTTAAGAAAAAAAATAAGTGAAAAGAACATCAAACAACTGGAAGTACCCTTTACACTAAGAGGACAGAAATGAGGCTATGCAGAGTACTAAACCATAAAGAACACATGAATAATAAAAGATGAACAGAAACCTTCATTATACTTCTGGAGGATCAGCTCCCTTTGCTCCATCATCCTGTCAAGTGATGCAGTCGTCTCATTGCACTTGTTTTCCAGTTCTTGCACATGCCTGTTCTTTACTTCAATCTGGCTAGCTAAAGTTGCCACAAGCGTATCAGTTTTACGGGTCCCTTCACTTTCAAGATCATCAACAGTTTTCAGATCACCATTCTTTTGCAAATAGTCACCTATAGGCCCTTGGCATCTATGATCATCAGCTTTGGCAACCCATCCAAACATCCCTGACCCCCTGTACTTCAGCTTCCAATCCCTTTTGCCATAGCCCTCTGCCTCAAAATGATTTTCAAAGGCAAGAGCATTTTTGAAGCCAGTCCAGTCTTTTCCAAACTCAACAATAGCATTACCGGTGTGACCTCTGTAATTCCATAAAGGGATAACCTTCTGCGGGCAGAAGCGTGCAAGTTGCTCTTTAAGCCGATTTCCACTTTCTCCAACTTGGCGCCCATTCTTCCACTCAGTAGGCACATTAACTAGAACGCCCATCCAGGGCCAGACAAACTGATCGTCTGTATTTCCAAGATTTTGGGGCTCCATAAGCATCAAATGCTAGGCACACAAAAGGAATGTTGTTATGCACTCCCTACAAAATTCCAAATTCTTAATACAAGGAAGGTACAGACTAGCAATAAACCATCACACCTTTTCCTTCTCTTGCTGAAGATTCCTTCTGTCATAATCCCTTTGCATTATCTCTATGGCTGAGTGACTGTCATGGAAAAAGAAAATTTAAGTAACCAGTCAAGTGGATCTATTCTAGGACTTCAAAAAGCAATCCACAGGAATTATAAGGCATTTCAGCTTCCTCTACATGAGCACTGAAAAAAGGAACATTCCCATACAACACAGGAATTATAAGGTGACAAACTTCTGACGTAAGGGATCACTTCCCGCGTGTCGTCACCCAATCGAAACGTCACGAATCTCCAAAGCTGATTAGATCAGATGAAGCCAAAATTCACAAGCGATCACCAGATAGAATGAGAAAACCATTTGCTACTGGCAACTACAAAGCTATATGCTGAAAACTCCTCCATTCCGAAATACCAATTCGAAGAAAAAAAAAACACTGAAAAATGGAACATTCCCATACAACATAGGCTTATAAATATAGCAGTAATAACTTCAAAAAACTCAGTTTGGAACTTTAATAGCTTATGGAGATGATATATATGGCTGAAAGTGGCTGCCATGAGCAAGAAAACATGTGAGAGAGGGTAGAGGATGCTGTGATGCAGAGAGGTTAGGCTCAATACTGGAGCTGGTAAACACAACCATGATTAGGGTCAAAAGGATGTAAAGGAGAACGAAAGAGAATTGTAGAGTTAGATTCATATTCAGGTTTTGGATTCATAAAGATACAAGCACAGCCATGATTGGGTCCTAGGCGTCACATTCTAGAAATTTCATAATGTTTAGCGAAATAGGCATGTGTGAAGTGAAGTAGCTAAGGCCGTGCACAACTACAAAGTGTAAATATGATAATCCAGTAGCTACAAGTACTTTGATGAAGCTACCAAGCCCATAAGAATAAACAGTCGACCCAACAGAGACATCAGAATTCAGACCACGAGCATAACCAAATCAAAGGTGTGGCTGCAAAATCCATAAACTAGCATGCTTTCCAAAGTGAACAGATGCAAGGTGCTAGCCACCCGTCTCGACCACATCTAAGCACAGACATGTATCAATCATTGGTAAACAGGACCCTACAACAATTTAAGTAAATTCTAAGACTTCAGAAAGCAATCCCCACAAAAAAATGGCCATTTCGGCTTCATCTACGCCGCGCATGCATGCTTTGCGATATACAATTTCTGACGTACGGGACCACTCCCCACGCGTCGCGCCACCCAATCGAAACCCCACGAGATCTCCAAACCCTGAATAATTAAATCGGTCGAAGCCGAAATTCACAAGCCAAAACGCTTCCGCACGCCGCCGATCGCCGCATAGAGCAACAAGAAAACCCGCATTCCCCGGCGATCCGCTCCCAGGGCCCCCGCCTGGGCGACCTGTTGGGCACGTACGGGGGTTTTCATCCCAGCCACCACGCAGTGAAACGAAGCAGGCCACCTCACGCACGCAGGTAGGGAAGAGGAAGAGGACGTACGTGGAGGAAGGGGCGGGGAGACGGGGTTACCTCCGGTGAGCGGCGGCGGCGGCGGCGGTCGGTGGCGGCGGGGCAGCACGAGGAAGGGGGTTTTGTGCTGCCCCTCGCTTTTTTGTAGCGTAGAGCCGCAGGCGAGAGTCCACGGACAAGTCGAGGAGTTAATAACAAATCCCGTGAACTCAGGTCTTTTTAATTTGCCCCGGATCGCCGCCGCTGAGGCTGAGCTGCTGCCCCGGCCCCGCAATGCGTGCGGCGTGAGGCGGTCGTGCTTCTGCGGCCCCCGCGCTGCGATCCCTGCAACCAGAATTGGGCCCGCGTCCTTTAAAAAGATAGAAAGAAAGAAAGAAAGGGAATTGGACACGCCTGTTGGAACATTTGAAATGCACATGAAGGGATGTTACTGAAACCATTGAATTTGAATTTCACAAAAATCGATTTAATTTCACAAAAAAAGTACAAGATTTAGGACAAGTTCTGCGTTGCAAATAGAGCTTGAAGCGTTTTGCTTTTTTTTCTCGAACATTCTGGTTTATTTTACAAGACCTAGTTACAAACGCGGATATTTAGCGCATACTTATCCCTATCCTTTTAATATTCTTTAAAAAATAAGTTAGAAACGCGCATGTATATTTTTCAAAAGAAAATGCTCACATATATTTACACACGTACGCCTCTATAAAGATATTCCAACTCACCTCAATTCGAACTGTCCAAATAGGTTATATACGAAATTCGTTCAAAACTGCCTCTTAGTTAGCAGACTTCACAATCGTCATGATTTGCATTCTGGCTCATTGTGACTGCCCCATCACATACCATACGAGGCTGCACATTTTTCCTGTGCACTTCCACCGCGTTGCTCCGGCGACTCCAGAAGACTAGAAACCCAAACGATCCTGCCCACACGGCCACACCACTGGAGCACACGGCACATGCAGCTCATGACTCATGAGAGGTGGGCAGCGGAGCTCAAGATAATCACCGTATTGATGGAATGTTGTTTTCACACACATCTCTACAACTAAAAAATTCCTATGATCAACATCTACCCGGCAGGACGATCGGTCGTGCGACCCCGCGTCTCCCGCACACGCAATCACCGCAATCACCGGGCAACTGTGGGTGCCGCCGCGGCGCACGGGCTCGGAGCCGTGCGGGGGCCCCAATCGCCGGCTGTCAGCACTGCGGTGCCCCCATCGCATGCAACGCGAGATGCGAATCCTCGCCTCCCTTTTAAACGTCGATACACCAGCTCCCAGATCCGATCGATTTCATCACTGGCATGATAGGCGATTGCTGCAGCCCCGAGGAGCGGTGACGGAGGCGACGTCCGCGGCCCAAGGCGGAGGCGGGGCACGCTGGCCCAAGGAGTAGAGGCGGCGTGCCTGGCCATGGCAGGACGCCATGACAGGATGCGCCGCCGCAAGGAGAGCGACGGCGGGACGTCTTGGTTTATGGTGCTTCCTCCACTCCGGCGCCTGCGACGGGATCACGGTGAGGTCGACGTTTCTACTACGGCCCGGGTCGCCGCGCTTCACTGGGCGCCGTACGCAGTGAAATGCGGTAGCGTTGCCTGGGCGCCGTACGCAGCGAAATGCGTCTCAGGTAATCTATCCTTGCTGGATTCCCAATTGCAGACTGAATGCCTTTTATTCAGAATACATGATCCGTTTCACCGTTCTTTTGATTCACAGTATGCAGATATTCTGGTTGTTTGATTCCATAATAGTACCTGCTTATGCATTAGGTCTGTATAATCCTTTTCACTAATCATTGTCCTTGTGTGATTACTGTTGGGAATATGCGTTTATATCTACCAGACGTAAACTTGAGACAAAAAAACGTAAACCAAAGCTACTGCTATGTACCACGCGGCGCTGCTCGAGCTCGCGGATTGCGCCAGGGATTACACGCAGGCAATCAGGGGCCTGCGGAAGTCGCTCGACGAACACCACAGCGAGGAGACGCTCGAGAAGCTCAATAAGGCGGAGAGCGCGAGGAACGACCTAGAAGCGCAGGAGCGACTGCATCAGGCTAATTCTGCTATAGAATTTCATTATATAGTTAAGTACATCAAATTTCACACTTTTGAGATTTGAGAATGTAATTTGAATAAGAATTTGTTGCAGTATTTCAATTGCAGAACTTTGGAGAAGAGGGTCAGTGCAGTTGCTATTAGCAACGATGACCTGTATGTAACTTTTGCAGATAAATTTGTTGTTGTTTAGTTAGTCATTTTGCGGGAAGATGGTGCAGAGCAGGTTCCAGTTCATAACAAACCTATGTCAATTCTTGGTCACTATTGTAGTATCTTCACTAGCATGGTATGGACAAATTTTGAAATTATATATTGCTTGTGCTATGTATTTGTACCTCCTATGAATAAATATCAATAAATTATTGCAGCGCCATCGATAGGCTTGCTAAAATTGGCCTAAATCCTGGTTAATTAAACTTCACTAGCATGCTGTTTTGTTGAACGAGCCTTTCAGTAGCCATGCAAAGATAGCTGGAATTGTCAGTGTGTGTGTCAGATTTATTTGATGCTTTCGACAAACGGACAGAGCATCTCATGTAGTGTCTGGTTTAAATATTGAATTGTAACTTTGATCCTATTGCAGTGTTATCTAAATTAGAGTGGTCTGAAATTTTCTAGATAGTACCTATTATCTAAATTATTAAATATTGAATTGTCACTTTGATCCTATTGCAGTGTCTGTTTGGAACCCTCCCTGCTGCTTTTCCGTTCGATTGATGCACTGCTAAAGTATGGTCGTGGTAAAAAATAGCATTGAAATAGCATTGACTTACAACTGCTTATATGTGGTGATTTGCTTGGAATGATGTAGCCAAGCTCATATTAGAATTCAAATTATGGAGCTTCTTGTCAGCATTCTTGGTGGTTGAGTCGTGAACTTGCAGTCGATTGTAGACAAGTGGTTTCAATTTTTTTATGCTTTCCGAATCTGAGATTGTGACTTGGTAGTCGCATTATCATTTGGTCGGTGCATACAAATTTATTTGAGATTTGAAACGGGGATATCTTTAAATGAAAATTCACCCGTGAAAAAAACATTATAGATGACATAGATGGATAAATAACTCAGAGTCACTATCGCTTGCAACAATAATAATTATAATTTAACTATTTCTATATATATTGCTGATGGTGAATCTTGCCACAGACACTCAAGTTACAGTATATATCTGTGTGAAATAGATCTAAACCACACATATTTATACGATGACTATAACATCCTTTGTTTTAAGATTTTGTGAAAGATTTTTCAAGACACGCAGTATTATTCATGTGACATGCACTAATATTTATAAATATACTCGAACCTATGTGCACAGGATAGTATAGAGATGTAGCGAAACTTATCCGCGGATTTATTAGCGCACGAAAGAATTGGATATCGGAGATTTCTTCCTGCCAATATAAAACATTATCTTAGCCGCATCACGAAAAGATCTATACAGTAGAGTTTGTGAGCCTGCGACCATGCTCTCCATAACTGTGTTAATTTCACAAACTTTGCATTTTGGATTAAACGTTGCTTCAGCGTCGGTATTTAATTTCACAGTATTGTTATCTTATCGTGCGATCCGTGTGTTTTTAGTACAAAAGTTTAGTTGTCCTGTAACAACGCACGGACACGAACCTAGTACAAAATTTAAAAAAGCGTTTCATGGAGCAGTTCAGAATAAAGCTAAGTGTTCGCTACTCCATTTTTTAAAAAAATGCTCCATCAAAGCTTGTTTAAATGCACTTGTATCAATCTCAGTTTATGTACTAGAGTGAGTTAGGGTGGACGGGTGGATAGAAGTGCACCCAAAGCAAGTCCTTAGTGGTTTCAAACAAGACTAATGACTCTATGTTGGTGTTATAACATAGAAAGATTTTTTTAGATAATGGAAAGAAAAATCGAGCTTCATCCTCTAGGAAGAGGAACCAAACAACCTTGTTACAAATACCACATGACAAATCCCAACTAGGTTTATTAAACAAAGTCGACTGATAAGTTAATTTGTGAAATAACAGGCCATCTAAAGGAGGCGAAAAGGCACATAACCACATTCTCCAACTCGTAGCATGCCTCTTACACTAAATTTTCTTTCTCCTTGCACTATTGCAACTAGGCCCAAAACTGTAGCCCATATGTTCCCTAAATAAGACCTACAAAAAAGGTTTTTGTCGACATTTGTCAAAAATAATTTCGTTTCTTGTTAGCCAAATACACAAGCAGATCATTGTTCCACCTGTCAATAAACAGGATCTAAAAGTTTTATCCCTCGGAGAATACCAATTATTAAATAAGTTATAAATATTTAGGGATGGATTAAGACCGAGCACTATATGAACCGCCCTCCAAAGGAATCTAGTATAAGTGCATTCAAAGAAGAGAGATTATATGATTTCCGGCTTATTAAAAAACAACAAGAGGTATCTGCACCCAATCTCTCTTTGACGAGTTACCTTTTAAAAAACTAAATGAAGATTTTAATCTTCAAAGGTATCTTTAAACGTCAAACTATTTGTGAAACTTTGTCGATATTATTGTCTAGGAATTTATTCATCGAACTGGCTTAGAAAATTTCATTCTTACGGAGGTGTCAAACAAACACATCAGGACCTGTTGCATATTTACAATCTGCACTCTAGCAACTAGGTGATTCCATTCTAGTAATTTGTTGTCCACTAATGCTCCACTAGAAAGGTGGAGATGGGTAGAACTGTAGAAGAAGAGACTGTGTATCTAGTGCAGAGAAATCAAGCATCGTGCATTGTTGAGAAAATGAGCCGTGTGCATGGTTGAAGATGGGCCATCTTTTGATAGTTTAATCGTTGACTATAAAGATGAAAAATTCATAGGCCTTAAATATAGCATTGTCCTTCCCATGTCATGCAAAATGCGGTAGAAAGTAGGATTAGTAGTAGGGGTACAAACGTGTCAAAATTAGCCGTCAACCATTCGGGCCCAACCATCTATAAACAACTTTTTTTTTTTTGAGGAATTAGGAGGAGCCAGAGGCTCCTACTATAATTTATTAATAAAAAGAAGTTGACAGAATAACAAAATTACAGAGGAAAAGGAAAAAGACAGCAAGCATGAATAAATTATGCTTGGACAAATGGTATCTTAGCAAATATTTAGGACATATCTTGTCACTCATATCGTGCTATCATCTCAACAGAGCTCCATCAGTTCATCTCAATCACCTCTCGGTCTCGGTCAAAGCTTGAGGCGCATCCTATCGTGGTATCTTCTCCTTTAACTCAAAAGTTCAATCATATAAAAGTTCTTCCTGCTAAGGGCGTGTTCGGTTAGCAGGATTTCAACCAGGAATCAATCCAGCTCATCAAAGATTATACAAATTAGAGAAGGAAGCCGGCCAGGAATCATTCCATGCCACCATTCCATGGGAACCGAACGTGCCCTAAATAATTCATGACGAAGGCGAATCATTAATATAAATGTTTTTTCCCTAAAAAACGTTCAACGCACAATCTTCATCGGTCTCATCATCTCGTTGTCCTCGTGGTCCAAAATCTGCATGTTTGAAACGGCCCGAAAGAAGATTAGGACAGAATCGAGATCGAAAACCAAATCCATCAGACAAAACTGGGACGGATGCAGAGTGCAGAGGCAGAGGCAGTAGGCAGAGGCGCGCAGTACTCACATGGCAATGGTACACGTAACCCGGACCAGTGGTGACGTCGAAGGGGAAGCGGCTCTCCTCCGGCGACGCGGCGTCAGTGAGCGGCTTGAATCGCACGAGGATCCTGGTCACCGCGCTGGGCCGCACCTTGAAGACGTTCTTCCACCCGCGCTCCTGCCGCGGCACGACGTGCCTCCGCCCGCCGGCCAGGTGGCGGTCGAGCCGGCACGCGCGCGCGTCGTTCCGGCGCTTCATGCAGTCCCTGAACTCGTCCACGCGCCGCAGCGAGCGCTGCTCCAGCACGGCGAACACCGCCAGGTGCACGTGCAGCGGGTGGTTGTCGTCCGTGAGGTTGATCACCTCCCACACCTCCGACGTGCCTTCCCTCGGCGTCTCCGTCACCGGGTCCATGTACGAGCGCCCGTTCAGGTACAGGTGCGTCGGCTCGTCCGTGCCGGCCTTGGTGTACTCGTACATGGTGATGCGCCGCGTCGTGGCCGCCTCGCGCGCGTCCGGCCTCGGGTAGTGCGGCATCAGCGTCGCCGGCACGGCCGAGGTGTCCGGCTCCGTGCCCGTGGCGCCGCCCTCGATCACGAACTTCATCACGGCGACGGTCTCCGCCTTGTCTCCGGGGTCGCCGGGGTACGGCGCCGGGGCGTCGTCGCTGAGGACCACCGCGTCCGCGTCGGCGGCCGCCTCCGCGAAGTCGACGACGACGTCGGCGATCTCGGACGGCGCCACGAGGAACTTGTCGGTCGCCACGGGCCTGGCGAGGTACACCGAGTCGGACGCGACGTGCACGAAGCGGAGCCCCGTGGAGAGCGACAGGCGGAAGAAGCGCGCGTTGCTGGCGTTGAGGATGCGGAAGCGGTAGCGGCGGCGGCGCACGCGGAGGTACGGCCACGCCTTGCCGTTGACGACGACGACGGCGCCGAAGTACTCCGGCTGCCACTGCGGGTGCACGCCGGGGTTGTTGCCCGTGCGGTTCATGAACAGCGCCCCGTCGGCGGCGCGGAAGTCGCGGTCGAACAGCACCAGGTTCCGGTCGAACGCCTCCCCCGACGGCAGGTTCAGCGGGGCCTCCTCGGCGGGGCTGGCGACGCGGTACGCGCCCATGAGCCCCGCCAGGATGTTGACGCGCGTCAGGCCCATGGCGTGGTCGTGGTACCACAGGTTCCCGGGAGGCTGCCGGTTCGGGTACGCGTACGGCGGCGGCGAGAAGCTCGGGCCCGTGGCTGCGAGCCCGCTGGTGAACCAGGCCAGCGAGTGGCCGTCGTCGGAGGAGTGCTGCACGCCGCCGTGGAGGTGGACGACCGTGGGGACGCCGCGGCCGTCGGGCGCCGCCGCGGTCGTCAGCGTGGGGTCCCACGGGAGGAAGTGGCGCGCCGGGAGGTGGTTGGCCCACGTCACGTGCGTGGGGACGCCCCGCATGGCCACGATGGTGGGGCCAGGCACCGTGGCGGTCTCCTTGCTGGTGCCGTAGGCGAAGACGCGCGTCGCCGGAAGGTCGCGGTGGAATTTCTGAAACAAATCACGTAAAGGAAAAAGGCCACATAATTCAGGGTAGCGTTAATTTTTCACACTAGAAATGGGTTTTCAAAACTTTTGTATCGCGGTGCTGACAATGAGGGCAAAACACACATGATGCTGCTACGAAAGTCTCCAAAAAGGAGTCAGAGGCCGAATGGGCTCCGATGAAAGCTGTGAATTATTGCCTGCCATTCATGATAAGGTGGGGGCGTGGGCCATGAGCTAACTCGGTTCAGTCGTCGGGGCCGGTTCGTTTGGAGTTAGTTTGGCTGATAAGCCATGACCGAAAGTATTGTTGGTTGATTTGGTGTGAGAGAAAAATATTGTTCGTTGGCTGAAAAAGTACGGCTTATAAATCAAACAAGTCCAAACGAACATGGCGGAAAGCTGTGAATTATTGTCTGCCATTCATGATAAGGTGGGGCCGTGGGCCATGAGCTAACTCGGTTCAGTTGTCGTGGCCATGTTCGTTTAGGCTTGTTTGGCTGATAAGTCATGACCAAAAGTACTGTTGGCTGATTTGGTGTGAGAGAAAGATATTGTTCGCTGGTTGAAAAAATACGACTTATAAGCCAAACAAACCCAAATGAGCAGGGCGGAAAGCTGTGAATTATTGCCTGCCATTCGTGATAAGGTGGGGCCGTGGGCCATGAGCTAACTCGGTTCAGTCGTCGTGGCCCGTGAGTGTGATCGACGATGCAGACGTGTGCCTCCACTTCACTATTCTTGATGGATTTTGTGCGCAAAAGAAAGTAAAAAAAAAATACAGAGCCCTCTTAAATCTCAAACAATGCATAAACCAGTGGGTAAGAGATTTTGTAATGCTGTTGTCTGTTGGGACTGCCCGCTTGAAGTTAGTAGTGATGGATTCGGATGTCTAGACATATCTGAAATTATCCAATATTCATATGGTTTAGTATCAATATAGAATTATAGATATCTATATCTATATCTGGTTCTAATATGGATGCTAAATAAATGTATCTAGATTAGTTGTTTACTATTTTTCTCTATCCGATTTTATCTATATTAAAAAATGGCGAAACGTCCAACACTATCCATATTTGAGAAGAACAAAGTTCCTCATGAAATCATCTAAAACTTATAACTATGATTAATTAGCAACATAAACTTATTGTTTTTAATATAACAAATTATATGCATCATTTAAATTGTTTAAAAGTTCTCTCTATGGCTAATAACAATATATTAATATAAACTAATGATATATAAAGGTTAATTTTAATTAACTTTAACTTGGATAACTATATTAATTTTAAATAGTTATTTTTTTATATATTGATTCAATTATTTTTTACATAATTTAATTATTTTTGATATATATTGAAATATTTATTTATAGTTTTACTTATTTTTATCTATTTACTTATTGAAACATTCAATAATAATATGTCATTTCGATGAGTTGTCTTTTATCTACATGTTTTAAATTATTACAGACCCCCTCAATCTCAAAGATATTTTAAATTTCGATACGTATAATAATGATTTTGCTCTACTGAAACTATCCCTAAGAAATAGATACTTGTCTTAGAAGAATGGATCTAGCTCAGATCAGTTGAGGCTTCCCCTAATAATAAACCTTTAGAAATTAGAGAGGCCATTCACTCAGAGAGTCAAAGGTGCTAATAACCGTCTATCTGTGCTTGACAGCAGTTGAGAGTTTAGCCTAAAAACTTTTTCAAAAGCTGAACAACATACGTTAGTGCTTACGAGTATGTGCGATCTTTTTCTAATTCAGGCTCCAATAATGCCGCTTGAAGACGATCCGGTAGATTCAGTGCAGAAGGCTAGCTTAACAAAAATAATATTGCCGAATTGACTGATTACTCTTGATGAATTGCTTTGCTTTTATCAGTGGCCTGTCACGCCTAATTTAATTTAAGCATCTACGAAGTATGTTAACGAGTTTGTAAGTTTTTTGGTGCGCATCATGAGTCAGCATTTTGCCGTGCTGTTTCAACGACTCACTAAACACAAGCCTTACGCAGATATTGGACGCCGGGTCGTCGTTGTTGCGAATTGTTCTAAAACCTCGAATTTCCCTTTCGTATCACTCGTGTTTGACGTACTAAGTTGGACGATCTATCTTGATTCAAAGGACATCGACCATATCGAATACAACTATATATACATGCATATAATAAATTTAAATTCTACGAGACGACGAAAAACTATCTTAGTTTCTGACGAAAGTAAAGGATAGATTGATTTTCTAGGCACGGCGACACGTGAACCTAGCTAGCTTAAGAAACTAAGACATGTAATTTTTGTGTAGTACCCAGCCACGAACGTAGGTTTTTTTTTTTTTTTTGACAAAACTGGAGGGGCGAGGCCCCTACGCCACGAACGTAGGTAATAAGGTACACATGTAACATGGACATGTTAGAGTGCTTACCCAGGTGGTGTCGTACATGCCGATGGTGAGGTTGCCGGCGACGAGCGCGCCGCCCCCTCCGTGACGCCGTACCCGCGCAGCCTCGGCATGTCCGGCAGCTCGTCCACGAATTTCTCCAGCTGCCGCGGGTCCAGAAGGGCCCCCGCGCCGTCACTCTCCTCGCCCAGAACGAGCACCACCGCTGCCGCCTGCAACACCATCGCCACGGCGAGCAAGCAGGCGCCAGCAGGAAGCCTCCTCTCCCCCATTGCCGCAACAACCCCGAGGACCTCACTGACGATGTGAAGAAGAACAGGAGGATATATATCGGACTGATGCCTTGAGGAGAGAGGGGAGGTTTTCTCAGTGGAGAGCTCGGACTTCGCTTCGCTGCTAGCTGCTGCTGGCAACTGGCACCGATGGACCTTTCAGCACTGTGCTGTTTGCTTCCTGGTTCTTGGTTTTGAGGGCACTGACCGATAGGTGAAGAGAAAAATCTAGCGAGTGTCCGGGGGCAGGGAAAGAGACGGGCCGGGCAGGAATCTCTCTTTAGACTGCTCTCGGGAGTGTCGACGATTTTTAGTGGACGAGGAATTTCACTTTTGCTGTGGGAAAGATGTGGCATTATCTTCTCCCCTCGATTTTTTTTTGAAAAAAAAAAGATTTCTTCATTCCAATTGTCAAGCATCAGAACAGTAGTAGAAACTAGGAGCAACTTTTAAGCCAACTTTTTCTTGGGATGCATTTGCTTTAGCGACAAGATGGGATGGGATGATTGCAACCTAGTTTTCTGAGATGGTTTGATCTTACTTCTTTTTTTTTACGGAGAAAAACCCTGCTTTTAGAAAGCACGTATAGGTACATTATCAGCCTGTTTACGGCTTACAAGAAGAGCCAAAGAAAAAATCGTGGATTATTTATCTTTGGCTAATTTTTAATTTGATGTGAGAGAAAAAATATATTCGCTTCGAACTTTTAATCCACGATGCTTTTTCTAAAAAAATTGGATCTAAACAAATATTAGTATGAATACTACATATCTATTAAATATATATACTTGGATTACCAGCTTACAAAGAAGAGCCAAAGAAAAAAAAAACGTGCAGAGCAACGGCAACGCTACCTCCACTGCAGCTAAGGGACGGAGCTTACCAAGCTCAAAACACTCTACCAAAACGATAAGAACACAAACAAAGCAAGCAAGAACAAAAGCAAGATATCTAATAACGCCGCAGATTCCTCCAAAGCCCCACCGATCGGACAGTCTTCAACAGAAATCAACCCGCGATCTTTTCGTTTGCCACAAGTGGAAAGTTGTTTCATCTTACTGTATCTCTTGGGGATGGACGCGGATGTCCAGATATCCAAAAGATCCAATATCCGTGTCTATTTTAACGTAAATATGGATATCCGTATTCGATTTCGATTTAAATATTAATGTTAAATGGATATATCTGTATTCTCTATCGGATGCTACAAAGGTATTCGACAAAAATGTAAAATATCCGACATTATCCATATCCGCGAACTACAAATTATTTTAAAACCATCTAGATCTTATAATTTTGACTAATTAACAATGTACATAAAAATAATTTTAACATAACAAATGATATGTATCATTATTTAAAATTTATCTATGGCTAATATAATTTTAATATTATTAATGATATATAGATCTTAAGTTTAATTAATTTTAACATGGCTAATCATATTAATTAGTACTTTATTTTATTTATATAATTCTAGAATTTATTTTTATTTATTAAAATTCAGTAATTAGTATATATTATCTAGAATTTTCTTCTATTTTATGTATTTAATTTTTGAAATGTTGATTAAAATATTTAATTTTTGGTAGTTGTCTTTATCCATAATGATTTCATTATTATACTAAAACTATCGATAAGCAAATAGATACATGTCAGCTTCAAAATCAAGTAGGTATCCAAATTTGAATTCGAATTCGAGATATCCTGTTGGGTTCATAAACCCGGGGTCTCTAATGGGTCCACTTTCCAGCAAAAGCTTAGGCCCAGCACCTAGCATTACGAACACCGCACAACATCTAGGCCGGCCCAGATACCTAACGACAGGCCAGAAGAGCGATCCAGTCTCCGACCGAAAGGCCTGGCCAAGGAGGGGGCGACGTTCGCTTCCGACTCCGACCCGCTTCTCCGACTGGAAGACCTGGCCAACGAGTGGACGACGCTCACTTCTGACTTCGACCCGCTTCTCCGACCGGAAGGCCTGGCCAAGGAGGGGACGACGCTCGCTTCTGACTCCGACCCGTTTCTCTGACCGGGAATACACCGATCCTCTGCTTACGGCTCTTCTCCGACCGACGCGGTCGGAGCCGACTGGGAACGACCGGCCGGGGACGCCCGCTCGGTGAGGACCCAAGAAATCAGGCGGAGCAGATAAGGTAAGGCTCTTAAGTCAACCGCAATACCGAGGACCGTACCCTGCACACCTGCAGGACAGTACTGTCAGGCCATACCAGAAGGGTACTTTGCAACCTTTCGGACATATCAGAACACGAACAGTGTTGTGGGCATCGACATTTATCCTACAGTATGGTAGGCGCCGACATTTGCCATACCAGAAGAACACAATGGAGCCTGCCACATGCATCTAGGTGTCAACAGTATTGTGGGCGTCGACAAACTGTCTTGTACCCGATGGCGTGAGCAGCAATACTAGAAAACACATACTCTCTCTCTTTCTTAAATTTGTAAGGCCGTCCCTTTACCTATAAAAGGGGATGCGCTCTCTCCTAAAAAGGACGATCATTCTGTCTCTCTCTCTCTGCTAGTTTTAGACATTCTGAGCATTCGAACAACTCCATGGCTCTAGAACTCTAAAGCTACACGGAGCATACGTTCCAGTACATAGCGCACGTAGGAGCTCCCGTCACTCTTGGCCCTTTAGTCTAGAGTCCGACCGGACCTCTAACACCCCCATCTTATTCCCATTCATTTATAACCCCACTGCAAACTTCGAGCACCTAGGCTCAGGAATAAAGTCACCGACCGATTCAAACTGGACGTAGGGCACGTTGCATCAACCAGTATAAACCCTACGTCATTGAGTGCTAGGCCACATCCGATCACACGTACGGCAAAATGACAAATATTTACTTATTGATCACTTTTTGCACCGACAGTTGGCGCCGTCCGTGGGAAGGACACGCTTTTGGTCATCGGATGGCCCACCTTTCCGCCATCTTCATCATGACGGGCTTAAGCGATACGACTCACTTCGGCTCGCTGGAGTTTCCCACACTCCCACCTGTTGGGATGTGGGTTCCTCCCGTGTTCAAGCGATCCCAGACCTTCCTCTTCAGAAGCCTGGACTTCGTCGTCGACCGGCTTGGCGTGCTTCGCCTTCGTGAGGAGGCACTTGTCCTAGCACCCGTCGGAGGAGGAGCGCCCTCCAACGGCTCCCGGCCACCCAGCGACCTCAATGACGAGACACCTGCGCTTCGCTCTGAGCCCACTTTGGGCACAAACCCCACTGTGAGTAACATACATATTGTTCTTTACTCACTGTTTAATATCTTCCGCCGACTCTCCAGACGGACCCCGTTGTCCACACCGCAACTGCCATGCGACCGGTTCCCCTACGGCCTCGCGTCCCCCTCAGACGCGTACGCATGGGGGCTTTGAAAGATGCTGACGCCACCCCCTCTCACATCCAAATTTGTGGGGATGGCGGGCTACGCTCCCGCCTCTTTCCACGACCTCATGGATGACGAGGTTGAAAGTGACGGCTCCAGCATCGGTGATGTCGTGGCACCTAGCCACCCCCTGTCTCGGTATTGCGCTATGGCGGACGCTCCGGGACAGCCGCCGGTGGTAGCAGAGTTCCTACAGACTCACACCCCTCCAGACCCTCGTGCGTGCGTAGGAGCACGGTGAGGAGCTACGACAAAGGTGATAGAGCCAGCCACCACCTGCGTCGGTGTGCTCGGCGTAGCACGCTGCGCCACGCGCGCGTAACCCGACGAGCGGCGCCCGGGGTCACGCCCGCTAGGTCCAGCGCAACATCATTGATGGGGAGAACGATCCCCCATAGTTCACTCGGGCTGGCCAGAACATCATCGCTGCGGCGATGCTTTTGCACGGCCTTCCAAAGCCTATCGACCCCAGGAGCAGGCGATCCACTGGAACCTCTGAGCGCTGGTGGAAACCGCCACCGTTCAACAGGCAGAGAGCTCCACGTCGTGACATCGACTCGCGACCTCTCTCCCCACTGGGGGAATAGGGGCGCACCAGTCAAACCACTCCATCCGCTCATCGCTACAGACACCGGGCGTGGAACAGGAGGCCGCAACTACACCACGGCCTGACCCGGTGCCCGCTCCACACCGACCACTTGTGCGCGAACGCCTTGGGCCGAACCGAGTTGCTCGCAGCGTCATCAACAATCGGCGTCAAGCCTGGCATGATGATGACGTCCATCAAGGGGCAGTGAGAGCAGGTGGCATGGGCCCCGGCCGAACCATCGAGGGGAGCGGGGAAACGCACCCTAGGCATGGTTGCCGACCAGACGACTGGAGTCCTAGCCCAGATGGCCCGGGACCACATGCCTTTGGTCGTCGCATCTAGAAAGCGCCGTTCCCACAGCACTTCCGACCACCTACCAACATCGCCAAATACACCGGGGAAACGAATCCCGGTATATGGCACGAAGACTTCCGGCTCGCCTACCGAGCCGGAGGAGTGGATGATGACCATTTCATCATTCAATACCTCCCCATCTGCGTGGGGAGCATGTTCGAGCATGGCTCGAATTCCTCCCGCCTGACAGCATCCGCGACTGGGCGGATCTCAAGAGGATCTTCATTGGGAATTTCTAGGGGACGTATGTCCGTCCTAGGAATTCCTGGGACCTCAAGACCTACCAGCAGGAGCCCAATGAGTCCCTATGGGATTACATCCGTAGGTTCTCGAAATGATGCAACTCCCTTCCTAATGTCATTGATGCGGATGTCATCTGCGCGTTTCTCTCCGAGACAACCTGTGAGTCCTTGATCC